GGCTGCACAGAGGCTGTTTAATAACCTGCGAAAAGAAAACTTATCACACGAAACAGCTGTGAAAGGCTGAGATAAGTCGTCACGGTGATCAGTAGAGAAAGCAATGTGGGGAATGTATTCTGAGCTGCACAATGACATCCTTTGTGATAATCTACAATCCTCCTGACAGGATCGTAGTTTTCTCTGCCAAACCACCCAATAACAATATTACAAAGCACCTCTATAGCAAAGTGCAACAGTTATTTCTCCATTAGAATTATGAAAATTGCTAAAAAGCAGGATTTACATGTTCTGATTTGTTCAGCATGTACCAGTACAAAAACATGAATCAAACTACCAGAGGCAGCCATAATGCGAGGCAGTGATGGGGTTAAACATTCTAAAGGGGCACTCTGATTGAGCCAAGCAATGTAAGTGGGCACTCTGACACATGCTTGAAATTAGAATGTTTGGCGTCCCTGAAAAAAGTCTGCTGTCCTGAGATAGGTGCATCAGCACTGTGTGTGTGCAAACACACTAGCAGCAGGTATTAATGCATCATAAACGGCGGACCATGGTGGCAAAATGGTCTTACAGTCTGTTATGTGTGGAGTGCAATGTTCACTGCATCCGCCTATAAAACATGCTCCCCAGACATCCATCAAACTTAATTTGGTGGGCCTGTTTCTGAGGGAGACTGAGCCTTCAACAACAAGCGCTAAGGTCACATGACCTTACTGAACTTTACCTCACACTACACAGATACAGTGAGGGGACTTGAAACTGCCACTGTCACACTCATGAGGGAAGGGTGGCATTAAGACAGACTTCCCTCCTTTTCCCTCTCAAGGCTGTGACACACTGCAGGCAAAGTGAAAAAAAAGCAACCTTCCACTTCGCACTGCACCGCAGCTTGTCTACACTCTAGTTTGTCCGGGCACAGCAGAGCTCGGGATCGCCAGCAGCGGCGGCAACGGAGGGGGGCGCATAAACGCACGCATATTACAAGTGATTGGGCATCTCTACGGACGTCTGAACGCTTGTATGTAAACAGCCATCGCTGGCTGTTTACATTCAAAGCCGATTTCCAGTTCGTGCGCGTGGCCTAGCGGCGTGCACGAGCGGGGCGGGTTAGCACATTTAAAAACGCCCACCCGCATTCCGTCCGCTGTCGATTTCTGTGTACTTATCACCAGGATGAGAAGAGGTGAGATACTTCAGTTCCTACCTGACTTATCACGGGTTATTAAACACCATTTTCTAGACTTTTCACTTTGCTAAGGTGAGAAAAGTCTTCTCACTGCTTATCACACTCTTTCACAGTTTATTAAACGTACACCTTAATCAACTAGCTCCACACAGGAAGGGGGAAACAGAGTAAAATACCAAATGTACAGACATAAACCAGATAGGATACCTTAATGCAATACATAGCAGTAGCAGAAATAATATCATAGGTGGGACACAAACAATCTCTACCTAACTATCTATTTATTTGACTTCATTTGGGCATTAAGCTACATGAACATTCAATATGAACCCCAATGAGTTCAGCCAAGAGGCCAAAAGTTTGACTAACATTCACAGTTACCCAACCGGAGCGTTCTACCCACAATTACTGATTAATTCCAGGCAAACAGCTAAATACACACCTAAAAAATGTATACATTTCCTGTTTTAAATACTAAAGGGTTTGTCATTCTGTACAACCAACCTTGTGTTGTAAACATGTCTGCCACACTGCACAGCCAGATGGATGATATATGTAGTTCCTAATTTAGCCTTTCTGCCTTTTAGCCAGATGGCAGGGATGTGCGGCCAGGGGAGGCAGAGCCTCACCTAGTATTATGGAGGAAAAAGCTGTCAGCATCAAGTCTGAAGCTGACAGCTTTTTCTCCATTCAGATCGGCTTGTTACAGGTTACACAGCAATGAAAGCCTCCCCACTATGTAACTTGTCATGGCCGGAGCGCTGCCTGTTACTTACAGGCAGCGCTGCATCGGCTTTTGACAGGTAGTTAGGTTACACAGCAATGGGCTTCCCCCTGCATGTGTAACCTAACTTGGTGAGGCAAGAGCTGTCAGAGCCTCTACTCTGTGTTTGAGGCGTGAGCTCTGTGGATGGCTTGGACCAATGGCAAAGCGCCATTGGTCCAAGCTCTCCAATCAAAAAAAAACAGTGAGGACATCAATCTCGATGCCTCATCAGTGACCAGCAAGTGAAGGACAGGGAGGCTCCTCCCTGTCTCCTCCCTTCTTCCTCCCCAAACAGCTTGGTTACCGAGCTGAAGTGGAGCTTCGGCAGGACGGGTCGGAGCTTTGGCATGACGGGTCAGGACTTTGGCGGGCTGGGGGATGCCTCACCAAGCACAGAAGGCACGGCACGTCACTGCCAGATGGGTGATATATGTATTTCCTAATTTAGCCTTTCAGGCAGATAGGTGATGTGTAGTTCCTATTTTAGCCTTTCTGACTTCCAGCCAGATGGGTGATATATGTAGTTCTTAATGTAGCCTTTCAATCTTCCATGCCACCTTAGTGGATAGTTAATCAACATAACGATTTCTGTACAGTAAGCAGGGAGCTGACCCCAGAAACAGTAACGCTGACCCAGGAAGCAGTGTATTACAAGTATGGCTGTACAAAGTTGCAAATGCAACTCAGTAAATGTATATGTATTTAGATGTTTGCCTGGAGTTCCACATCAAATTTACTTTTAGAAATGTAAATTAAATGAAATAAAAAAAAAACTGGTATTTAGCCTACTTTTGGGGGGAAATCTTACTATTTTTAGTTTTTTAACCACTTTTGGGCTTTTTTGTTTCCCAAATAAAGTGCAAGTATAGTCCAAACGTTTTATGACACATACACTTAAAATTTGCAACATGGAGTCCAGCCTGACTGTAACCTTCACCTTTGCTTTCTTCAGGTTCTAAGCAGAGGCCAGATAATTAAAGTTGGCAGACAGGAGAGGAAGGAAGGTCAGACGCTGGTGACATTGGTCCTGCCAGTGACATGGGAGTTCCTCCCATCTTTTCGCTTTGTGGCCTATTATGTGGTGAAAAGCGGTTTAAGCCAAGAGATCGTATCTGACTCCGTCTGGATAGATGTAGAGGATTCCTGCATGAGCACGGTAAGATGGGTGACAAATACATTTGAAAGATATAGGGACAAGTGCTAAGGGCATGACAAAGTTCATTTTTGATAGGAAAAGAAGAATTGAACTGGCTCTGTGTGTGATGGGTTAACTTTTAGGAAATTACAATACATTTAAAGCAAATAATCCAACTAAAAACATCTTTTATTGTTTTGAATATAATGTGTACAAGGGTTTTCATTGCTATCTATATGTCCACCCGGGGTGATTTTCCCTTCCTTTCCTAGTTCAAGTCATCTTTACCTTACAATCATACAACTTTCCCCCATGACTAACACATTTTTCTCTCCAGATCCCAAATCTAAGGGGGTTATTCACGAAGGATCCAGTCATAGCTTCGGCTGATCCTTCGTCTCTCTTTGGCCACCAGAGCCCTTTGGTTCAGTCGAACCGAAGGGCTGCTGTAGGGGCTATTCACTATAGCCCGTACAGCGGCCGAGTGGCTCAGCTGAGCCGAAGGCATATGCTTCGGTTCAACTGAGCCGAAGTGACAGACAAAGCGGGGCGAACGGCCTGCCGGAGGCCGGCCTTTTGCCCCGCAAATGACAGCTGGGCAGAGCCAGCCATGATCTCGCGGCTGGCTCTGCCCAGTTGTAATGACAGATCAGCGTCCCCAAATGACCTAGGGAAGCTGTACTGTCATTAAACAGTGACAACTGGGCGGAGACAGCCGTGACGCCACTAGCAGGTGCCGGCCAACAGGAAACAGTTGGGCTGAGCTAGCTGTCACTGCTAGCTCCACCAATTTTTTTGTTTTTTTTGCTTTATAAAAAATTATTTATTTATTTTTACATTTACTATTTATTTAAATTTTTTACATTTTTTTCAACTTTTTAAACTTTTTTTTTAACCATAGTTTTTTTATTGTTTTAAAAACGTCAAGGGGTACATCACAGTACAATACAATACAATACAAGGTGCATGAGTAATAAAACACTGTCGTATGGGAATCGGTGAAGGTGTACTTTAGCAATAATATTGCAGGTGTTGCATCTGTATTCTCTGTCAATACTCAGGTGAAGAGAAGCGAGCGTAGGCATCAAGTGGAAAAGGGGAGGAATTACATCAAATTTAGCTTCAAAGCAGATTGTGCAAATGCATAAACGTTGAGTAAGACACACTGGTTACGAGATCTAGCACTTGGCGTATCGGCCATTTAAATAAACTAGCTTGGTGTCAGTAAGTATCGCCAAATATAGGGATGGGGTGGCATGTATACACATCCGATACTAAGTAAAACCCCTTACAGTGCCCCTTGAGGAGGGCCTCATATATAGACCACCAAGGGCATGGGGCCTGTGCTGACGGTGGTCAGTGGTCAAAACGAGGATGTTGTGGCACCACACAAGACAGACAACACGACACAGTATGGGGGAGACGCACAGAGAAAGAGGGGGCAGAAGGGGGAGTATGGGAAGCCGGATTTCAGAGTGTGATGAGATAGTTGCATAGTCAAGCCATGTATCAATGTAGACGGTGTCGTCTCCTTAGGTGAGGGTGACGGTCAGCAATTACAGTGTATAAAGGCGGCGGGGGATGTTTGCTGTAGCATACAGAAGCGATCTGCTTGGTCAGCCGTGAAATTATCTCGAGAAGTGTACAGGGTTCGGAGGTGCTGTTGGAAAATATCTAAGATTTTCGTCGGAGTACTGGTATGGGCCCGTTAGTCGTACGTAGTCTGATGGGCTTAAAGGTCGGATCTAATCGCCTAAGTTTAGTGGCTAAGAGGGAATCTGCCTTGTTACTCTTAAGGTAAAATTTGTGGGCTGTGCGATGCAGTTGTTTAGCGGCATGGTCTGTGAGCAGAAGATTCAGTGCGTGGCGAGCTGACTCCAATGCAGTTTTGTTTGCCAAAGAAGGGTCCTGTGAGAAAGTTTGGGAGCATTCATTAAAGGTTCTCTCAAGTGAGGTCAATCTACGCAGCCTTTCTTTCTTAAGCTGAGATGATAATTGGATGATCCGGCCCCTGAGGACCGGTTTATGGGCTTCCCAAAGGGTGACATGTGAAATATCAAGCGTTCGATTCAGTTGGATGTAGTCAAGTGTGTAGATAGGCACTAAGGGGTGCACTCTTAGGCAGCCTGGCGTTAAGGTAGTATGGTGCGGCTAGTAATTATGTGCAGGGGGAGTCTATGCTCAGGATACTAGCTGAGGGTCCAGGCCAAATGAATATAGCTACTATATATATACGTTATTAATGGGTAAAGAGTCCTCCTGTCGGCTGTATTGGATGTCAGAGTTAAGTAGTCTGCACGTCAGTATAGAGGGACGGTGTTATCAGGGCCCTGGTGCACTAATGATACATGAAAACGATTTATAGGCAGATCTTGTATAAAGCTATGAATGAATGAGGCACTAAGCAAAAGGATATTGTGTGGAAAAATCAACTAATGCATCTACGGGGAACGTAGTGGTAGGGGGAATGATAATCCGCATTGGTGCAGGATGGGAAGTTCGATGATCAAAGGACAGTTTCTTTTCCCTCTGTAGGATGTCTTGTATCACTCCATGTTGTGGTGGGGGGTGACCAAGGTGGTTAACCTTTTCCAGAGGGACTTGGACTCAGAAGTGGATAGGTTCTGGAGACCCAGCTGAGGCAGTCTGACTGTGGGTGATATGATAGGGAGTCTCATGTTGGGAAAAGAGGGTCTCGGTGCAGACGGATGGGTATTAAGGACATCCACAGCCGCGGATCAAACCTGAGGTAAACATCGGCTGAGGGTAAGGCGCACACCGCCATGATGGCTGGTAGAGGAGAGGAATCAGCTCACCGAAGGTGGCAAGGAGGTTCAGCGTGGAGGCGGGTTTTTGGCGGACATTTTGACTGCAGGCCTGCGGGAATCCCCTGAGTTACGTTGATCGGAGTCGCTCCTGGATCTTTTGGAGGTCTGGGTGGCGGGATTCTGCGAATCCGGGCTCTGAGGATGCGAATCCGTTAGGCCAAGAGTAGCCAACTTACGTTGTGCGTCTTCCAGGGTGACACAGGTGTGATGAGTACCTCCTTGGGTGAAGAGCAATTTGAAGGGGAATCCCCACTTGTATGGGATCCGATGCTTGTTTAGGACATCTAGGCACGGGCGCAGAGACCTTCTTTTGGCGATGGTCGAGGGGGCCAAGTCCGTGAACAGTTGGTACTCGTGGCCCTGGAAAGTGAGCGGGCCTTGCTGCGCCTTGGTCCTAGCTGCCGACACAAGTGCTTCCTTAGTGCGGTAGAAGTGCAGTTTGACCAGTATGTCTCGGGGGGGACCATCTGGTCGTCTGCGGTTAAGCGTGCGGTGTGTACGCTCACTTTCTAACCGCTCCAGGGGAATGTTAGGGGCCAGTTCCTGAAAAAGCGCCGTTGTAGTGGAGTGTAAGTCCACTATGTGCTCTGGGAGGCCACGGATGCGGAGGTTGGAACGCCGGGATCTATTCTCTAAATCCTCCAGTTTAGATAATAGCTGTGTGTTTTCCTCGCGGAGGGACTCCATGTCTCCCGAGACCACCGATAAGTCAGTTTTAAGGCCATCGCATCTATCCTCCAAGGCCGCTGTTCTATGGCCTATATCCCTTATTTCCTTCAGCAATCTATCAGTGATCTGCTTGGAGGTAGCTTGGAGTGCCCTTTGTAACATGGTGTCAAATCGTTGTAGAAGGGCAGTCTGGGATCTCTTTCTAGAGCGATCTCCCTCCTGGCTGTCCTGCTCTCCTTCATCCATATCGCTGCTGGACACAGAGGAGGCGCGAGACAGTGCCTCATGAGTGTGGGCCGCGGACGCCATCTTGGCTGAGGCCTTAGCCATCGCCTCTGTTATAGGTGGCTGCTTACCCTTCTGGGCTTTTTTCGTCAGCGATACTGACATGTCTCAATGGGGGGGACGTTCCGGTGGTGAGGTAAGGTAAGGAGACGTGTGGGGAGATGAATGCTCCGGTTTAGTTAGGTGATTGCCCGGGCGAGCTGCGGAGCTGCCTCAGAAGACGTCTTCCATCGACAGTCGCGCGCATGCGCCCCCCAACTTTTTAAACTTTTAACTGATTTTCTATTCTGCTCAGTACCATGGAGGTACCGAGCAGAATAGCCGAGCCCAATGCCCCCTAAATCTTGGGTGATAGTTGTGTGACTCTTGGGTTAAAACATTGATAAATAAACCCATTAATCTTTAAAAAAAATAAAAGAATAAATAAATAAAATTGATCGAAACAACCCCAAAAACCCACATAATTTCACTTTCATAACATTAGACATTTCCATAAATGTGACTGGATGTTCAAAGCTGATCTTTTGGAGGGCTGTAAAATTTTAAACATCCTATGACTTGTTAACTACAGCTGGAGATTACAGATGCTAGTAGAAGAAAAATGGAACTAAGTCCTGGTTCAATATCAAGGTTGAAAATGACAGCAGACTACAAGGCTGTAGTGGGCCTGCTTATGGTGGAGAAGGTCGTCTATGAACAGAACCCAAAGTTTTGGATGTCACAAAAGAAGGTGAGAAACTGAAAATGGCTACAGTGTTTTACTGGCTGGGTGCACAGTTAGTAGGGATGCACCGATACTTTTCGAGTACCAATACCGATACTTGGCATTTTTATGAGAACTACCAGGGTTGCAGCTGGGACCGGGCTCAGGTGCCCCACCACTGTCCTGAAATCATTAGTCTGTATTGTTTTAGAAAAACTGTCACATGACAATAAACAAAAATGTATCAGTACTTGTACTTGCAAAACTGGTGTCGGTGCATCCGAATTTATATTTATAAAAACAAAATCATGCATTAGAACAGATGCACAAATCCCAGGAGCTCCGTGTGCTCCTTACAAATGACAGCTGCCTCCTAACTTTTGCATTTTTCTCTAGTCTAGTCCTGGAGCTCGAAAAGTATCTGTACTTGTACTTGTACCGAGTACTGTACATCCCTAATAGTTAGAATGTGGTAAGAACAGAATGCGGTAACAATATCAGGCCATCTGTATCCCAAGCATGTTTTACACCCTAGTCTAGAGACTCAATCAACAAGCTCCAAAAAGGAAGGGTGAGATAAAGGAATATACCAAATGTACAGACATAAACAAGATAGAATAATTTAGGGTGACACTAAACTCAGGAGTTAAAGTGTTCCTTTGGATAAGGCCATGATTTTTGTGCACTTGGTAGATGTGAGTTTATACCCTTCCTATTATAAAGTACCATATTTTTCGCTCCATAAGACGCACTTTTTTCCCCCCAAAAGGAGGGGGAAAATGTGCCTGCGTCTTATGGAGCGAATCCTGACGCCCGAGACATGCAGTTTCGGGCGCCGGGCGAGTAGTAGGAGCCACTGCTCGTTTAATACGAGTGATTTAATGAGATCACTCGTATTAAAGCCGAGCAGCGGCGGCGGCGAGCAAGTTCAGCAGCAGGAGCCACTGCTCGTTTAATACGAATGATCTAATGAGATCACTCGTATTAAAACCGAGCAGCGGCGACGATCGAGATCACCATAGAGCAGACGAAGAACGGACTTTCTTCGCCTGCTCTGTGTCATCACTGAGACCGTGGCGCTGTAATCACAGCGCCACCTGTCTCAGAGGTCACTAACTGCAGCTTCTGTCATAGAAGCTGTGTCAGAAGCTACAGTCTGTCGAGTGCTCCATAAGGCGCGCGGGACCTCCCTGCGTAAAATACGGTACATACTGTAGAACAAATCCAGCATGAGAGTGGGACCCCATCGTACTGGCCACATCAGGTGTACAGAAACAGGAACAAAATCGTATCAGCATATTTCCTGAGCAATCAAAGTTAAAAGAAAGATAAACAAAACTATAGATAAGTAATTGTCCATCAGCTTCTAATAATGAAATATCTTTATAATTTACAGGGTTAGTCACAAAAGGGTGAAGGTTTTGGAGAAGGCCGGAGAAGTGAACAATCTAGGCCAAAATAGCTGATTTGGAAAAATCCTCCAATTCAGCTCACTTTCCAGTTCAGCTATGTTGTCAGAGATTGTTCACTTCTCCTCCCTTCCCCAAACTCTTCTCCCTTTAGTGAATAACCCTGTTAGTGTGGTAGAAGTCTCAAGCAAAGAGGGTGACAATGGATACATGTGTGACATTTTTTATTTTTTTTAAAGATTGGGATTGAGATTATTTAAAGATTGGGATTACCCTTACTTCCTTACCAGGTGACCATTTATAAACCGGTGAGGGGAAATCTCCCAAACAGGGACACCGACAGCAATAATAACTCCACTACATCTGTTTCTATGCTTCCATCTTTCAGGTTTGGGACATTGTGGGAAAGTCCGATTCAGGCTGCACCATGGGGGCAGGTGCTGATGGCTTGCAAGTGTTTTATGATGCTGGGCTGACTCTACAGTCAAGCTTTGGAATGGAGACAGCACACAGATCAGGTGATTTTCTAAAAATATTTATGTGACATCTAGCCCGGTAAAATTGTTTATGGTAATTTCATGCAGTTGCATATTTTTACATACAACTGCTATCCACACATTAAACTGTCTTGATACCAGCCTTCTGCCATCTCCTGCATACTAGTATCGGTATCGGCGCTGATACCAAGTATTTGGGTGAGTACTTGTACTTGCCCAAATGCTCCGATGCCTAGCCCGATACTTCCTGTATCAGCAAGCCAGGCGCTGCGTCATTACACGCTGCCCGGTTTCCTGATTGGCCAGGAAACGGCTCCATGCTCTCTCGTCACTTGTGATGAGAGAACATGGAGCCGACTTCGCGGACACTCAGACATCTCCTGCATACTAGTATCGGTATCGGCGCTGATACCAAGTATTTGGGTGAGTACTTGTACTTGCCCAAATGCTCCGATGCCTAGCCCGATACTTCCTGTATCAGCAAGCCAGGCGCTGCGTCATTACACGCTGCCCGGTTTCCTGATTGGCCAGGAAACGGCTCCATGCTCTCTCGTCACTTGTGATGAGAGAGCATGGAGCCGACTTCGCGGCCAATCAGGAAGCTGGGTAGCGTGCAATGACGCGCTGCCCGGCTTCCCGATTGGTCAGGAAGCTAGCAAATCCGGAAGCCGGGCGCCGTGTAATGACGCAGTGCCCGGCATTCTGATTGGCCGGGAAGCTGGCGTCATGCTCCCTCGTCATCTCATGAATCATAATATTAAGAAAGTGACCTTAAAGCATTAGTTTGTATTGCTTCAGAAAAAATGTGACCTGTCCCTTTAAGGAAAAGTATCGGTAATTGGTATCGGCGAGTACTTGATCAAAAGTATCGGTACTCGTACTCGGTTTTAAAAAAGTGGTATCGGTGCATCCCTACTGTTTTTTACACATGTTCTAACAGGAAACATGCTGACAGGACAGAAAGCAGAGTAAGCAGAGTGGATGACTTATAAGTGCGTTGCTGCTCTTTCCCTGTTCAATCAACAGGCTGAGGATGTGCGCTGACACCGCTGCATTGCTTATCACTAATAGACAAAGTGGTGTCACTCTGGCTGTGCTGTCTGGCAAAGATGGATGAAACAAGACAAAGGAAGAATCTACTACAAATGAATCATATACCTGTATTAGGGTTGGAAATTGTGTTCTTATATGCTGGTTACCACCATGAGTTTAAAATTCTTCTTCTCCTTCTTCCTTTCCTTCCTTCCTTCTTTTCTTCCTTCCTTCATGTTCTTCTTCCCCGATAATGAATTCTGAATGATCTCAGAAGCACCTAAAACTGATGTCAATCTGATGCTATTGACATAATCCCAAAGCCCATTGACACACGCCCTCTGATCCAGTGCTGATTCCTGTCTCTTCCTATCCCACAAAGTCTGTGCAGGTGCACGCTGCCAGCATTAACTTACCTTGTGTCTCTCCTCTTCTCCCGGCCAAAGATCTGTACTGCACATACGCCCGCCGCATGATCCTTTGCGACCGCCTGAGAATCTTCAGTCACAAACACTTTTCTTTTATCTATAGTTACATCTAGCGGGTGGATGAAGAAACTACATCTCTTTTAATCCTACCCCACTACTTTACAATCTTACTTAAAGGAGAACTATGGGGTCAGTGTTTTTCCCCATAGTTCTCCTTGGGGTAACGGGAGGACACAAACTAGCGTCCTCCCGTCACCCTAAGCTCAGTATACCGCAAGCTACAGCTCGCGGTATACTGAGACGCCGCACCTGGAGCGGATCCCGACTTAGATGACGGGATCCGCCCGGCTGCGTGAGTGACAGCTGGCTCTGCCTATCTAGAGGCAGAGCCAGTTGTACCCGCCACCTCCCCCGTCCATTCCGCCAGTCCGCGCTGGCAGATCGGAGCGGGGAGAGGGGAATCCAGCCCCTCCCCCTGTCACGGCAGAGAGCCGTGACAGGATCGAGAGGTGAGGGAACCCGGTATGTTTTCCCTCACCTCCCGATCTACTGAGCCGACCTGCGACAGTCTCATTGTCACAGGTCGGCTTAGAACTATGACGTGAGTGGAAATCACTCATGTAATAGTTCTCCTTTAACATAAATAGCCTCTTTCACACCTCTTTTACAACAGTCCTCCTGCCTGTCTAGGATGCGTACGTGACTGTCTTCAAAGAGGTGACCTTTTCCCTTTTAGATGTAGGTATATTGCTGAATCCTGACCAGGGGGTTTGGCTCTTCTATGCTGTGGCATACGCTGGTGTAGCTGCTGTTTTGTTTCACCGACATACAATTCTGAGCACCGAACTGCATACACAATGTTGTTCATCTTGTGTTTTGGCGTTGGATCTTTTGGGTGACCCAGTTGTTGTTGGAATAAAGAATGTATTGAGAGCGCTACAACTGTGTTGAAATATACCGGAGGACTCACATTTAAGAAGTAATCTGCGGGAAGACGTCTGGTTGGGTGTCTAGGTGAATACAGACCTGGAGGGTCCAGTGATCTGGTGAGTGATCTGCCTCTGTCGCCGAGCGCTGCGAACTGCAAAATAGGCCTATTTTGGCCGATCACTGCTTAACAAAGAGGCTCCGCCTCGAAACGCGTAGCTACCGACCCGGTTTACATCAGTCCCCAATACTCCTTTGACCTCTTTACAACTTCCGCCGGCATTTGCCACCACACGAACCACCGCTCTGCCTCCCGAGCCTACTGACAGGAAGCCGACATCACACAGCGCTTCAGACATACAGTGCCCCTGACTACAGCGGCTCAGCCTGGCCAGCTGAGTCTGTGCAAGAGTCTGTTGTTCCTCCTTTCTCAGCGCTCGGCGACAGAGGCAGATCACTCACCAGATCACTGGACCCTCCAGGTCTGTATTCACCTAGACACCCAACCGGATGTCTTCCCGCAGATGACTTCTTAAATGTGAGTCCTCCGGTATATTTCAACACAGTTGTAGCGCTCTCAATACATTCTTTATTCTGTTGTACCACAGGGCTCCTCTCTCTGTTTTAATAGAGCTTGCACACTGTACCCTCCACCCTTAGATTACAACAAACACCAGTTTGTACTTCTTGGCAGTGCGCTTGATTTTGTCGCTTATATTTTGTTTTAAACACCAGTTGTTGTTGGGTTTAAAGAAGACAGGGATGTGATGTTTTTTTAAAAACCATTCTGAGTTTCTCAGACACACGGCTACATCTGGGATGACTAAATTCTTTCTTTGGTCATGCTTTTCACTCTCACTTGTACTCTTGGCATTCTTTCCTCTGATCAAAGCAAAGATCTCACCAATATCTTGAAAGGCACAAGAAGCTGTCAACTGTTTACCTATCTATCATAACTTAAATGTCAGTTTTGGGTGGAATTATTTTTTTAACCGCTGGTAGGCCCTCATTTTGTAGGACAACCTCTTTCTGGTTGGAGGGGGCTAATTCTTGTTTGCAAGTAGCTAAACAAATCAAAGCTAAGCTATTGCTAAAGGAAACATAACATTTGTGTTGTGGTATTATGAACACCAGTCAATATAAATTAATACTTCTATCTTCTGTTAGAGTATTTGTGCAAGGGGACAGAGAGAAGAGTTCGTCGTTCAACAGCTGGTAAGATAAAGTATATTTCTTAACTGTGCCTAGGGTGAGTGATATTATTTACTAAGATCGAGGCCATTGTCACATACTTATTAAGATGACTCTTTTCATGTCTTTGTAATGTCTTCCTTTTGCTGTTTAGAGTAAGCCAAGTAAAAAGTGTGTCTATTCCTTATACTTCAAAAACCCACACACATACAAATACACCCGTGTTAAAGTATATCTGTGACGATAATGAGGTCTGGCAAACCCCAAGCTGTGTGAAGGGAATTGAGAAGTCATACTGAACACAGTGCCACCCTCATTTCTCCAAAATGTGTAAGTCAGTGACGAAACTGTCAAATTTAAATATCATGTTTGTAGGTGAGCAGAAAGAAAAGTGACACATTTCATATGACCCACCACTAAAACAACCATCTCAAAACACACCGACACAAAGCAGGTCAGCTTGAATGAAATGCAGAAACATCTCAGCCAGGATCTGCCAAGCCTCTTAATAAGCCATGCTGTAAAACAGACTGCTGAATGGTTTAAGCAAATATGTATCTGTAGTCTTTTTTTGTTTGAACTTTAGTACAACTCAGCTTTCTAACTGTACCAATATTCTATCATTCCTGCTGTGATAAAGTTATCTTTATAAGAAGTGGTTATGTTAAAGGAGAACTATGAGGTGAGTGATTTTCACTCAACCTCATAGTTCGAGCCGACGTGTGACAATGAGACTGTCATACGTTGGCTCAATAGATCGGGAAGTAAGCGAACACATAGCGTCGCTCGCTCACTTCCTGATCATCTCCCTGCAGAGAGCCGTGCCTGTCACTCATGGCTCCCTGCAGGGATTACCCCCCTCCCCTCTCTGATCCTCCAGCGCTGACTTGCAGAACGGACAGAGGAGGGGGCGGGTACAGCTGGCTCTGCCTCTAGATAGGCAGAGCCAGCTGTCAATCAAGCAGCTGGGCTGATCTCGACAGTAAAGTCGGGATCCGTCCCGGCTGTGGCGGTCTCAGCTACAGCTTGCGGTATACTGAGCTTTGGGTCATGGGAGGATGCTAGTTTATGTCCTTCCGTAACCCTTAGGAGAACTATGTGAAAAAACACTGACCCCATAGTCCTCCTTTGAAGGACTTCCACATATCAGTTTGGTAAGGGACATGGAAAGGCTTGCATACATTCCTTCAGCACAGAGAAAGGTAAGAATCTACAAGGAGGTTTGCTAAATTTCTTGAAAGTGCAAAGTGAATTTATATGCAAATCTCCACAGTGATGTACAACTGAGTAAATGTAGGGGGCCTCAAGTGTTGCCCCCAACATGTTCAGAGGGAAGCACAATAGATGTTCTTTGTAAATGACTGGACATGCTGATGACATCATACTGTAGGTGATGACACAGAAAGCCCTCTTTTACATAATGCTGGAATATTGTGTTTCAATCTGCTGCTATGGGATACTCTATAGCAGGTTAACAATTCCATGAGCTCTTGGACTTAGTGCTGGACCATGATGTCACTGAGAGCTGGCAGTTTCAGCACCTCAGGCTGCCAGAGCCGCTCCCACCCAGTTTTCCAGTGCTGCAGATCTGAACTGAGGTCTGTAGCATAGTGGACTACACGCTGAGCTTAGGCTGCCAATATGTTGCCCAGAGGCCGCTAGTTGGGTAGCACCTCTCTTATTCAGGCCCTTCCCCTTCCTGTCTCCTATGCCTCTCTATTGCTAACCTTAGTGATGGACAACCTCAGTGATTAATAGGGAAGCCTTGGAGGGGGGAAGAGGTGGAAACAAGCGTAACCCTAACTTAAGCTCCCTATTTATCTTAACTTACAGACTGTATATCATAGAATTTTTCACTGAAGACAATCTTCACATTTGTATTTTTTTTATCTGTGTTTATTTTGTGCTTATCTGTTTATTTTTTATGTGTTCAGGGTTGTCTAAGGGTATGGCAGGTGTGTTTGAACTAATACAGAAGCTTTCCTCATATAGGCATTTATCTTAGATTATAATAGGCAATAATCCTCTGAAAGAAGTCTCAATTAGGACAGAATTCCCAGAGACATGGTGGTGGAAAACAGACATTATGTCTGAAAGACCAGAAAGAAATGGGTGAGCAATTTATTGTTTAAATTCTTAGTTTTATCTGTTTTATTGTTTCATTACATAATAAATATAATTCCTTAAGTGTATGTCCAGCCAAATATTTTTTCTTACTTTTGAATGAAATGGGGAAAGATTAGAACCGTTTTCAGATTTGTACTCCATTAAAGAGATTTCCCCTGAATTATAAACAAAGGGCAACAGCAGAAAAAGTATCCATCGAGTCTGATCTTTTTTTCTTGTGTATGTGTGTGTTTTTTTTAAAGATTTATTTTTATATTGTAGCACCCCATGACTCCCGAAGGCCTGTGGTAGACCCCTAAAGGCAGGAAGGGCTGGCATTTCCATCTCATGGGTGGATCCTTACCCGCGTTGTGGGATGTTAACAGTAAATTGGGTGCCAGTCACTTTTAAGTGCCTTTTTAAATGCTTTATTGGAGAACAGCCTAAACTAGGAGAGAGGGTATAGGGCATCAGACATCCATAGCAAAAATAGACTCCAGACTCACCAATCCCTTTCAGCTTCCACAGTGCAATAATACGTTAGTAGAACTTAGAATGACACTGATGATCCCAGAATTGTATTTCTCCTACTCTCCTGGCCACACAGCTTCCCATCATCTGAAATGAGCACCCCCAAATATATTTTCTTCTGCAGTCCTGGCTAACACTTTACCTCAATATTGTACTCTGTGAGAGGACTCTTTTTCCTTTAGTGCATTATTTTGCATCTCAAAACATTAAACTTGAGTTTCCACTCTTTTGATCAATTTTTTAGCAAAGTGAAATCATGATCCATGTTACAGACACGCCCAGAAATATTAAGAAATATTCACCCAGGTGACAGCGTGGTGGGGTTTGTCCTTTGCCTGCCTACTTTTTGCTAAAGGGTATCGCTATCTCTCATCTCAGAAAGTTGGGATGTATGATCCAGGGCCTTTTTCTCTCTAAATCTCCTTGAGTCCCAGAGCATTTGTATTGTCTGAGTGATGTCTCAGTTTCACACATTATACTATTTAACATTTATAGTCTATTCTAATGTATAATGTATGTATCATCAGGATTTTGGAGACAGATAGGGCTTTTATTTGGTAGCAAATTTGGATACAAATATTTTTTTTTTCTCGAAAAAAAAAATCTTATAGTAAAAAAATAGTAAAAAAAAAACAACAATGTCTGCTCATAAAAATGGAATCCAATTAGTGTGTCTTTTAAGTAATGGAATAGTAAAGCCCAAGGTTAACGTGTGCATTTTATGTTAGGAGAGCTTTATTCCGCTTTCAACGCTATTTTGTGATACACGCAGGAGGGAAAAAAAGGTTTGCACAAATTGTTAGAGTAACATTGAGATAAGACTGAATCAGGCTGATGAGAACATAAATTACCACAACTGTGACAAATGCTAAAAATGTTAATGGCATTGCGTTCATTAACAAGAGCAATTGACGCTTGTGCAGCATATGCAAATGTCATCCAGATCATCCAACATCATTGTTGTGACCTGAGATTTGATCCGGGGACGCAGCATTTTATTATTTTTATATCTATTTGTTTATTTAACTTTTTTAATCTTTTTTTTTTTTACGCTCGCTTCAAAAAACGTTTTTGTTTTGGACAGAGTGGGGGAAGGCTAGAAACCCTGTTAGCTCTCTAGTTCTGTCCCTTTAGCAGATCTTTCTAATGGAGCCCCAGATAACATTATAGACCCAACAGGGGTTTTAATCTTTCCCTGCTCTATCCAAAATTTAAAAAAAAGTTTTGGCTGGACACATGCTTTAATAAAAGCAAGGACTGCTTTTAAAAGGTCAGTAAAGATAAAATACAGGTTGGATTATATAAAAGGCCATCACCAGTTTTCATATAAGGTGGGAGAAAATGTCTAATGCTTACACAATTCTAGTATTACAATGGCGAAAGTCTTGGCAGTTCATGCCGTTATGATTTACCAAGGTAATAATGGCGTTTGGTGAATAATTTTGGATAAACAGATGTCCCTATGACTGCAAAAATTATTTGTAGGCCAACGTTTTAAAAAGACAAAGGTCTTACTGTGGGTTTGTAGAATGAAGATTGGAGATCCAGGAGCTCCAGATCCATTTTGCTTTCCTGGTCTGCCATCACTCTACTCCAAAATTCAGAAATCAATATTTTAAATGATATAATGCATCACACTTACCTCTGAGTCAATCACTTTATGCTCCGACATTACCGCTCTGGGCACGGGCTACACGCTCTCCCCATCAACAGCTGACGTCGGGTACAAAAGATTTATGATCAGATTACAGAGACAAGAAAACAGTTTTCCTCCAAACATAAATCTTTTGTACCTGACGTCAGCTGTTGCTGGGGAGAGCAGATTACAGAGACAAGATAACAGTTTTCCGTCACTCTCCCCAGCAACAGCTGACATCAGGTACAAAAGATTTATGATTGGAGGAAAACTTACCTTGTCTCTGCAATCCGAAGTTTCACTCGTGAGGCTAGTTTGCAGTGGTATTGGCAGTTTTGCAACCGCGGTTCTCCTCTCGGCCCCCATGTATAAGACACCCCTCTATTTTTAGGTAAACATTTTTATGAAAAAGTAGCGTCTTATACACCGAAAAATACGGTAAGGTGACCTAAGATCAAGGCAGAGAAAGAACTGTACCCTTTACTAGGGAGAAAAACCACAGTTGGGGCTGACATTGAGATACATGTATCCCCTCTCAAAAATTGCATTCACCCTTTAATAACTCCCCACTTTTCTATAACAGGATACATACACACAAACAGCATGTTGAGTACTGTTCATGATACTTTTCTTACTTACACTTTTTCAGGACATGCTTTTAGGGGTCTACCCCCTTTTTCATGACCCAAGCAGTAGTGATACCCAAAGGCAGAATGTTAAGAACATTGTTATTTTTTGTTCTTAGCCGGGACAGAAAACAAATGTAACTATACATCTAAGGATTGATCTACTATATATGTGCCCCTGCAACAGAGAGGAGAAAAGCAGTGTGAGCAGACAGCTCCAGCACTAAATAATCTCAAGGAGAAGATTGGTGACAGGAAAAGGTTTTGAAACCTTTCTACTCAATCTTTTGCCCTCAGAGTAGTTGGCCGGGGTTGACTGCTGGTTCAATAGCCAGACATAGGTTACATTAACTTCTTGTTAATGCCTGAAAAGGGCATATTCAATTATAAGAAGGGATAAGAACTTTCCTTTTGAAGCTATGTCAAAAAGTTTTGGTTTGAGGCATAATTTTCCCCTTGCGTCATAGCACCTATGGTCTGGGTATGGGATATTTTGTTCATGAAGTATGCATCTCAAAATTTACAGACATGTTTAAGCCAAAACAATGCTTGAAATGACTGCTTTCTTATCTTCTAAGTGTTTCCACCAAATACCTTAATCAGGCTCTGAAGGACACCATTACTACATGGAAGATTGTGGCTGTAAGCCTTGTTGAAGGCAAAGGTATATAATAACTGTGTGTTGGAGATTTTTAACATTCAATTGAGTGAGAATATGGATAAGATAAAATGAAAATAATGGTCCCTTGTGTAGGATGTGTGTGGTTTATGATGGGATGGTGGTTCCTCATGTTGGGTTTCTGTGATTTAGGGTGGGGTTGGTGTTATTTCATGTAACATGGGTGTGATTTAGGATAGAGATGGTGTTTTGTAGGATATGTGTAATTTAGCATGGCATGGGTGAGTCCTCATGTTAGATGTGTGTGATATGGGATGGGGATGGTGTTTCCTCATGTAGTATGGATGTAATTTAGTATGGGGTACTGCTTCATCATGTAGAATGTGTGTGATTTAGGATAGGATGGGGTTTCCTCATGCAAGATGGATGTGATTTAGGATGCAGAAGGTGTTGTTTTTTTATCATATAGAATGTGTGTGATTTGGCAAGGTAATGTTGTTTTCTCTTGTAGTATAGATGTGATTTAGGATGGGATAATGTTTGCTCATGTACGATGGGTGTTATTTAGGATAGGATGGCATTTCCTCATGTAGGATGGTTGTGATTTAGGGTGGGGAAGGTGTTTTATCATATAGAATGTGAATGTATGTGATTTGGAATGGGGATGGTGCTTTCTCATGTAGGATGGATATGATTTAGGATGGCATAGTGTTTGCTCATGTAGGATGGGATAGTGCATTTCCTGAAGTAGTATTAGTTGGATTTAGGATAAACAATTCCCTGGGTTTATTGTCTAAGATTGTCTCCTTCTTCCACTTCCACATAAAGCAATTTGCCACACTGGGGGCAAATTTAGCCCCCATAGCCACACCAGTCCTTTGTGTGTAGAACTTGTCATCGAACCAAAAATAGTTTCTTTCCATTGGCCCCAAGGGGAGGTCAGAGAAGAGGTTGGAACCGATACCCCTCACGAGCAACATGGAGTCAGGGGGGAAGGGGGAGAAGTAATAGATGGGACCCAGATTATGAGATGCAAAATAATTGGACTTCCCATATTTACAGAGATTCTGATTTTGAAATTCCTACACGTAATCGTTTTACCCCATTGAACCAAGATGATGCCAACAGAGATAGGGGTTTTTTAGGGAGGAAACCCCGGTTCCAACGGGACTGGCAACGAGAGGCACCACAAAGAGACAGAATGAATATGGAAGAAAGAGGGGATGTAGATCAGGTCGACAACACAGGAAAAAGAAAGAGGTTTTAGGGGAAGGTATTATTAATTTGAGTTCTACAATCCTTAGTAAAGAAGAGCTGTTGGTGCTTGACAAGGGCCTTAAATATGCACCTAATAAGCCCCTTAGCAAGTTTGACACCTACATCTCCATGAATAAGTTCACTCGCAAACTATGTATAAAAAAACATTTTCTAAGGAATCCAGTACCCCCTCTCTCACAACCAAGGCTTTGATTTAATTTTTGCATAATTAAGAGTCACCAAGATATGCATGCTCTAAAGGTGTCAAGAAAAAAAAAAGCACCCAAAGTCGTGGTCAATAAAGTAGGTATTGCGTCACAGTGTATGGCTTGTAGTCTGAGTGGTAAGTAACGCAGAGTTCAGACGATGGCCTTGGTGCTTCCTTGAGGAAAGACATCTGAGGAACATCCAATTTTCCTCATGGACTCTCTATAAGGAGGTCTAGACCTCTAGGTCCAAGTGATGACACAACACATAGCTAATTTGTATTGTACGAAACTCAGACTAAATTGTTGAATTCTTCTACAGACGGGGTTCAGGTCGAAAAAATTACAGCACCGGATTCTGAAGACAACATAAACCATGAAGCATTAATTGATACATTTTTCACAATTCAAGGTAAGCAATCCTTTATGTTATTTTTTTATATACAGCTTGGCTATCTGGTTAAGTTCAGGAGGAAGTGTGCTTAAACACATCTCCTTTAAGTTCTCTTTACAGTTTTTTGTTCCTTGTTGCAAAAAGTGCGCACCTCACCCCTTCCAGTCTGTATCTTTATTTGTATTCCACTGCCCTAGTTCTTATATCAGTAACATTTTATATCATACAGTCAGCATATCAGAATCTCTGTAGATCTTCTGTGTGAATGAGATATAGGGGTTGATTTACTAAGCACATAAACACGCCATGCAAAAACACGCCGACTGTGCGCGCATGCGCGCTTGGCGCAGAAGCGTGATTCATGGCCACTTAACATTCCTACCAGACCTAAAGGGTCTGGTATGGATTTGGGGGGGAACCCCCACACACACTTTTTTGGGGATCTCAACTGGGTCGTTCCTAACATTCTTACCAGAACTGAGTGCAGAGTGTCAAAATGAAATGTTTAGTATGCATCATCATGCACACACATAGCATATGATGCACATGTACATACAGCTAGTGCCTGGTAAATGCGGCGCAATAAACGTGCAAGAGGGACCGTGAGCAGGGTGGGGATATATGCACAAGGCACTGTTGCCAGGGTGCAGAACAAATGGGCGTAGAAAGCTGCAGGTAGCTCTAAACAGACAGATCACTGAAGCTGCTATGGTAAATGCATTTTTGCGGATTAAAACGCGCGCGGAGCCTGCGCGTGTGCGTGTTGGGCTTCGTAAATCAGCCCCATAGTCTTGGTGCTTCCATGAGGAAAGACATCTAAGGAACATCCAGCTTTTCTCATGCACTCTCCATAGGGAGATCTAGACCTTGTACATTGACTTTAGGCCAATAGTCCTATCTTGGTAGATTCCCTTTTAAACATGTAAGCAAGCCAAAAATTTGTTTCGGCTCGTATTTTTTGTTCTTTCGGGATTCAGGCCTGAAAGTCAATTTGTTTCATTATTTAGATTTGGGTCTTTCTGAATTTTCGCTGTAATTTTGGTTAAACAATAAAAACAAGTTAAACCATAATTACGAATGAACATTTGTTCGGATCTATTTGAATCTATTTGGATGGAGTTAGGTTGTTTTTAAATGCGAAAAAAAAAAAACAGCTTGCGTTACCCCAGTTCATACCAAGGGCCTCTTCTCCACAACCCTGGCCAGTGGTTGTGGGGATCTGCAGGCATATCTGATACCAATCAGGAAGCCGCGCGATGAGTCATGAGGTGCTGCCCGCCTTCCTAATTAGTCAGAAAGCCAGGCTTCCTAGCCAATCAGAATGCTGAGCAGCACATTATGATCCACCTCCCGGCCTTCTGATTGGTCAAAAAGCCAGGCTGCCTAGCAGCAAGTGAAACTGGCTTCCCAGCCAATCAGGAAGCCAAGCGGGTCATGACCTGCCACCCAGCTGTATGATTGGTTAGGAAGCCAGGCTGCCAAGCAACAAGTGAAGCTGGCTTCCTAGCCAATCAGGAAGCAGGGAGGCGGGTCATAACCTGCCGCCCTGGCTTCCTGATTGGAAAGGAAGCCAGCTCCATGCTCCTTTGGCACTTCCGGTCAGAGGGAGATCTGGCTCTGACTGGAAGTTCCAGTATTGGAGGTAAGTATCGGAGCATTTGGGCGAGTACTCGTCCAAATACTTGATATCTGTACCGATACTAAACCTCGGGGGAGCACAGGGAAGGTAAGTATAAGCGAGAAATGGGAGGCATCCTATCAAGAGAAACATTTACTTTACCCATTTAAAGTGAAGTGAAGTGGCTTCTTTTTAAATTCTCAAGTTTTTGAAGACTTAAATAGCAAATCTTGATAGTAGCTTGTATCATTCATATTATGGAGTAAGAAATCCTCAAAAAACAAAGTTTGTAATTTGCAAATTATGGAAAAATATTATTTTCTCATCTTCAGTTTATATGTACAGTATATTTACATGTATCTATATTTTAATGATCCAGCTCCTCAGTTAATTAAGATGACGGAAGCAAGTATAGATGGAGCCCACTTGGATTCCCTGATCAAGGAGGTAAAAGGAAATGGAGAAAGCAACATGGCGGCTCTGACTGCCCCTCTGATTGCGGCTCTGTACTTGGATACCACCAACCATTGGGGAAAATTAAATGGGAACCGCAGAGATGAAGCCATCCGGCATATCAAATCTGGTGAGAGCCTCTGTGTTGTAGCATGGACTGTGGGCCAAACCCAATATTTAGCTATTGGAACAGCTGCTCACCTTTGTCTAGAGTTAGCTTTCAGATGCAGTGAGCGGTGGAGAATCTAATGATCCACATTATATTTAAGCCTACAAAAAACCCCAAAGACAAGCTTGCGCCATGGAGGTTTTTTTCTGTTTTTACCCCAAAACCAATCATAGAGGCTGAGTGATGTGAGCCAAAATCCAGTGACAGCAAAAACATGAAACAAAAAAACCCAACAGACATAAGCTGATTACTATGTAAGTTTACTGATGATTTACAGGGCTCACTTTTTCTCTATCCACAGGGGTAAAGCATATTTATGTAATTTACATACGTATGGTATAATGTCTGATGTCTAGCAGAGAATCCGACCTCGCATCAGACATTTAAAAGGAAACTCATTTTTATTTTTCATATTAAACAATTATTTTTAAAAGTGATGTTTTTAAAAAGAAAGCCCAGCACTAGTTGCATAAACTGGCTTACTAAAATGTGCCTCCATCTAATTAGTGAGAGGTAATGGGGTGTTCATCTTCAGACTCTTTCAGCTGTGTGTGTAATCTGATCTTTCAATGCTTCACAGTAGAGCAGTTTGGGAAGTAACAGAAAGCTTGTAATGTTTTTTTGGAACCCACTGCCAACAAAGAGGCAATTATATATATAAAATTATCCAATGAATGGTTTCCATAGAGGTGTACACTTGTGTCCTCCCGATGCTCTCTCTACAGCACACACGGCTCTGGAGAGGAGGAAGATGGCTGCCTGTTTTATCTCACATCCTGGACAGAAGTTATTGTGACTAATGGCGTCAGTGGTTTAGAGGTCGACCTCTGGAGCTGTAACTGATGAGATTGCTTTAATATGCAGTGATTGGCGGCATCAAGAGGCTGTGCGGACTCCATGTGCACTGCCTGTCAGGACCCCGCTTCTGTGTGCTTTCAGCCATTCATTCAGCATTGTCGGAAAGCAATGGCAGGAGGGGAGGGCGAGTTATCTAACAATACTGCTCAGTAACCCCCACACAAATTTCTCACACACGAATGGGGCCAAGAAAACTTGTGTCTGTGAATAGTATTCAGTATTGGGACAGAGCAGAAGTCGCCTATGCAATGCAGAGGCAGGAGAGTCTCCAATCCAGCTGCGCCCCATCCAACACATTGTCCAAGGTTGATGCCTTTTCTGCCTTGGATCCTGCTTTCATCCATATGCATTCAATCATATGGTGGTCCAACTTAAAGTGACACTAAACTTAGGAGTTAAACCTTGAAAGTTCATTCTAGGACCTTAACTATTAACAAAAATGTATCTTATTTGTGTATCACTCAGCTGTAAATCCTCCGATCATCTCTGAATTGGTGCTGACACTGTCCTTCCTTCTGGAGAGTGGATACTTTTGTTCCCCATGGTCCCTGTGTGTGTTGTAAAGTAGTCACCTCTCTAAGCTCACTCCTGTGATGGACTACAATCTCAATACAAATTAATAAACTAAATGAGAGATTACAGGTATAGTCCTTCATGGAAATAAGTTTGGAGTGGTGGGTACGTTAAAACACACTGGGACCATGGGGAACAATCTACAGTGATACACAAATAAAATACATTGCTGTTAATAGTTAAGGTCCTAGAATGCATTTTCAAGGTTTACCTCCTAAGTTTAGTGTCACTTTAATGGACAACACCTGTAAATGAAATATCACTTTTAAACAGGTTGACCCTTGGTTTACTGTGCTACCAGCTCCACAATCCATCAATATACCAATAGCAATGAGAGTTGCTATACTAGTAGTAGTAATGGATTTTTTAGGAAATCTTAGTAGCATGGCTGAAAAATGCATATGTCACTGTACTGTAACTCATGGGATTTGCTTCCTTCTTTAAAGGCATTGTTAATCAGCTAGCATTCCGCAAATCAGACTTCTCCTATGGACAATGGATTACCACACATTCAAGCACATGGTATGTTATTTACGTACTCACCTTCCTAACTGTTATTGTATACTGTAAAACAATACCGGCACCTTCAAATCCAAAAAGAGCCCAGCAGTAAAAATACAGCAAACACGATGGAGGCAGCTCCCGCAGATTAGATGGACCACCAGTCTATGAGAAAAGGAATAAAAGAGAGCGCCTCCATAGTGTAAAATTTTTATTTAATAGTAAAAACACGCAGCTCTAAGGCTGTACTTACAACAGTTCGGTAGAATAAAAACCAGTAGAATAAGGTGAGAGGACGGAACCCCTGGTAGGGAGAATCTGGAGCGATGTAAAACACCAGTAACCTCGATCCCTGTATTGATAAATGGTTTATGTGTTTCTGGGGCACTGTAGTATAGCATAGAGAATAATCCACCATCTACATTTATAAGGATATGAGGAGTTAGGGAGTTCCATGACCATGTAATTCAGCAACAACCCCTCATTAACTTTATAAACTGCTATGGTGTTTTTATAACCATTTTCTATTACAGTTACTGTCACTGACTTGGAAGCGGAGCACTAGGAAAATTGGCTCTGGTACTTACGGAGCAGTCCAAAATAGGGAAGACAGGTCTTGGGAAGTGAGGAGATACTGTGTACTCTAAACGCAGGGCACCAGGGCACGTGTTCATGAGGTCCATGCCATCCCGGCCTTCCTGGTACCTCCAGCAGTCATAAGTCTCCTCTGATTCTCCTTCCCAGATAGTTTTAGACCCCCCAGGGTCAATATCTGGCCTCCTGCAGGCTTGAGGCATAGTCAACCTTGTACATCCCACCCCCAGACTAAGCCTGGGGGCAGACTGCCCTGAGCCCATGACAATTCCTAAATATTTATGCACTTCCCCAGCATGTACCACTGGCCATAAAACTCCTAGTGATTGGGTCATGAAGCCTAAACACGCCCAATGTTCTCCCATTGTCTGCCCCACTCTGTGTCAGGGTCACATCCCACTACAGGTAGATGCAGACAAAAGCAGAACACCCAGGAATGACCAAATTATCACAAACTACAAATCAGCTGGACTGATTACAGTTCCAGTGACGCTAAATTTATAGAGCCACTCCACTTAGGGTGAAGGGGATATACTAATTTTGCTGATCTTGTAATTTTCTTACAGGTAAAATCAAAGGGAAATCTACCTGGGGTCTGTACTTTGTTTAAAATAAAAATAACAGTTCAAGGATTAAAATAAGTATTTTATCAATTTAAAACAGAAATTAAAGTCAAATAAGAAAAAAAAACCTGGTTCCCTACCCCTACCCCTTAAAAGACTCTAAAGGTAACAGAAGCTATAAAATACTGAGCTCTGCCACAGGAACTGCTGCTCCAGCTGTTATATGATCCTGGCTGAAGGCAAGACTGATCCTACCCTTAAAGATTGGGGGGCAAAATGTCCAGGCATTTGGTCACATGACTGGCCACCGTGCAATCACATAGCACTGGTTTCTGCATTAAATGAAGTATTCCAGGGCGTATGTTTATCCTCTGTGACCAAAAGAGAACCAATCAGGCATGGGCATTTCCAAAAATCTATACTTTGCTATTGTTGACTTGTATTGTCTCCCTGTCAGCAGGGTTCTACCTATCTACCTATCTACCTATCTACCTATCTATCCGTCTGTCTGTCTGTCTATATATCTCTTTTCTGGTTATCAGAACTGATTATTACATATTTCTCACAGGCTTACTGCTTATGTTGTCAAAATATTTAACTTGGCTGGAACCGTTACTAAAGTTGAGACAAATGCAATCTGTAATTCTGTTAAGTGGCTGATGCTATATAAACAGAAGCCCAATGGATCTTTTCAAGAATCTAATCCAGTCTCCAATCAGGAAATGATGGTAGGAACTAACATCCCCTTAGTCAACAAGATGTATAATAATAAGTAGTGCATGATTGGATGGATAGATAGATAATGGATAGATAGATAGATAGATAAATGGATTGAAAAATGGGTGGATAATAGATGGATGGATGGATGGATGGAAGGAAGAACGTGTGAATAATAGATGAATGGAGTGGAAGAATAGGTGGATAATAGTTGAATGGGTGGAAGAATAGGTGGATAATAGATGGATAGAAAAATGGGTGGATAATAGATTTATGGATGAAAGTATGGGTCGTTATTGGATTGATGGATGGAAGAATGTGTGAATAATAGATGAATGGTGGAAGAATAGGTGGATAATAGATGGATGGAAGAATGGGGGGATAAAAGATGTATTGATGGAAGAATGGGGGGGATAATAGATGGATGGATAAATTGCTAGATTATTGTGCTCTCATCGTCTTCTGCTTCATACCTGATACCTTTGGCTACTGACTTGGCTTGATCTCTGACTACGTTTCTGCCTGCTCCTATACTACTACCGTCTGCTTGGGTACCGAACCCAGCCTTTCTGACCATGACTTTGCCTGCTGTTTCAGCTACTGGACTCCTAGCCTGATCCAGATTGTGACAGAGATGGATGGAAACATTGGGGGATAATAGATAGATGGAAGAATGGGGGGATAAAATATATTTTTGGATGGAAGAATGGGTGGATAATAGATGGATGGAAGAATGGGTGGATAATAGATGTATGGATGGAAGAATGGGTGGATAATAAATGAATGGAAGAATGGGGGGATAACAGACGGATGGAAGAATGGAGGGGGGGGGGGTAGTGGTAATAGATGTATGGATGGAAGAATGGGTGGATAATCGATGGATGGAAGGATGGGTGGACAATAGATGGATGGAGGGAAGTATGGGTGGTTAATGGATGGATGGAAAAATGGGTGGATAATGGATGAATGGGTGGATAGATGGATGGAAAAGTAAGTGGCTAATGGATAGATTGTTGGATGGATGGAAGTACAGGTGGATAATGAATGCATGGATAGAGGAATGGGTGAATACTGGATGGAAGGATGGATGCAGCTGTGCATGGTGGGCCATGCTTGCACAATGTATGTCAGCACAGCTGATTCTAGTCTCCACCTCAGTTGTTCAAGTGACAGTTTCACAAAGCACAATTGGGAGCAGTTGTCAACCTCTAACAGGAAGTGCCTGAGAAAGGACCTTCAAGGCAGGATCACCAGTATTATGTTAATGAAAGTTGTAGGTTTAAAAAAAAAATGTAAAATATTTTTGGAATTACATTAACCTGTTAAAGATTTTATTAGATTTTGGCAATTGAGTCTAGATGTGCTTTAAAAGCTATGGTGCTCTTCCTACCTGGTTGAACCATGGCCAATATTTTACATTTCAGGGCTTCTCTGATGACAGGAGTAATTGGAAGGCTGTATGGTTAAACATAAGGCATAAACTCTTATTCCTTAAAGCTTTACAGAGAACATTTATCCATCAGTGTCTATCTCTACAAAAGTTTACAATCTACTGTCCTTACCATAGTCATATAATTATAGGTTTGGAAGGAAGTCAGATGGCCTACATGCATAGTTTTGAATTGTGGGAAAAAAACTAGAGCAACCCTATGCAAAAACAAAGGAAAACCCATCAGGAAATAGAACTGAAACAATTATTTTGCTCAAATCCAAGTGTGTAAGGGTGTATTCCTTGGTGTGAATTCCATGGGACAGATTGTGATTTAATATAACATAGTGACTCATTGGGGTTGATTTACTAACCTTATAAACACGCCACGAACAAGTATACACCTCTGTAGTGTGTTCCTTCCCAGCATGATCTATTGGTGGAATCTAGACACCTTTGTAGTGTGTACACACCCAGCAGGTGTGTTGTGCAAAGCCCTGCATGAATTACAAGGTGATGTTGTGTAAATTAGCTCTACGTTGTGTTGCTTGCGTTGATGAATGCAGGAATGTAAATGCATGAGCTAACCATTTTTGTCTAAACTGTGAAGCAGCATTATATATGCATCATGTGCATGATTTTTCCATATAAAGCATTAGTGGAAATATGCTTTTAGAGACTTGCATGCCGCTATTAGAGCGGCGTGTAGCCTATGGCGCATGCTACATGACGCGGACGTACGTAAATACATAAAAACGCGCCATAACGGCGTGGAAATGTGACACGTTGCTCGTGTTTGGTTGATAAATACGTTTTGCTGTGTAAAAATGCACACGCACCTGGTGCGTGCGTGTGTTTAGGTTAGTAAATCACCCCCATTGTGAGCAGGTTCATGTAAAGACAGTTCTCAGGGGACATTAGAAGAAAGGAAAAGGGCAAAACTTATAAAAACGTACAGATGTGCTTAATTTTTCTGGGTATTTTTGAACTCTGACATATCAGCTGACTGTTTTATTGCCTGTTACCGATGTCTTGTTTGCGTTTTCTTTTTTATCCAGGGTGGAAACAAACGAAGTAGCAATGAACTGGAATCTACCCTGACAGCCTTTGTTCTTGCGGCTATTCTGGAAAGTCACAGTCTTTGTATTGCTCATGTGTCTAAGTGATCAGACAAGATTTCTTTTTGCCTTTTGCCTCAGCCAATTCTATCTTTATTTTCCTGTATTATTTCTTAAAGTGACACTAAACTCCAGAGTTTAAATGAGAACTATGAGGTGAGTGTTTTTCACTCACCTCATAGTTCTAGCCGACCTGTGACAATGAGACTGTCACAAGTCGGCTCAGTAGATCAGGAGGTGAGCGAACACATACCGGCGTTCGCTCACCTCTCGATCCTGTCACGGCTCTCTGCCGTGACAGGGGAGGGGCTGGATTCACCCCTCCCCGCTCCGATCCGCCAGTGCTGACTGGTGGAACGGACGGGGGAGTGGGCGGGTACAGCTGGCTCTGCCTCTAGATAGGCAGAGCCAGCTGTCAGTCACGCAGCTGGGCGGATGCCGGCACAATTGTCGGGATCCGCTTCAGCTGCGGCGTCTCAGTATACCGCGAGCTACAGCTCTCTATATACTGAGCCTAGGGTGATGGGAGGACGCTAGTTTGTGTCCTCCCGTTACCCTAAGGAGAACTATGGGGAAAAGCCTTAACCCCATAGTTCTCCTTTAACTTTCAAAATGCATTCAAGTACCTTAACTAATAACAAAAATGTATCTTATGTGTGTATCGCTCGGCTGTAGACATGTAATCTGGCAAAAAAATTCGGTTCGTTTTTTTGGGACTTTTCGTTATATCACTGTCTAGGATTTGGTACGAAAGTCAATTTGGTTTGGGATGAATCCGAATTTTCGTTAATTTCTGATGCATATTTATGAACTTTTGTTGGGCGTCGGGACCCCACCCCCTGCGCAAAGCACCCTCCCCATGTTGAGGGCATGTGGCCCTGTATGGCGCAGGGAGGGGAGGGAGGTCTCGGTCACCTCCCTCCTTTCCTGCCCTGCCAGACCACTTTTTGGATTAAGGGTCTGGTTTGGAATCTTATGGGGGACCTAACCCTTTATTTTATTTTTTTACACTGGGGGGGGGTTCCCCCCTAACATTCCTACTAGACCTAAAGGTTCTGGTATCAATTGGGTAGGGGGACCCCACATTTTTTTTTTTTTTAAGTTCATGTTTAACAATAACGGTTCATTCAGGAAATAAATTTGGATGCATCCAAAATTTTCGTTATCGGAAATTCATTTGGATTCGTTATTTCTGCCATTCGGAAATTCCTATGCATCCGAACGTACGAATTTCGGAAAATGTATCCAAATTTGAATTCGTAATGAAACAAATCGCACGGCTGTAGATCCTCAACCCATCTGAATTGGTGCTGACACTGTCCTTCCTTCCTTCCCTGTATGTGTTGTAAAGTAGGCACCGCTCCAAGCTCACTCCTGTGATGGACTACAATCTCATGTTTAGTTTACTAATTTGTATTGAGATTGTAGTCTTTCACAGGAGCGAGCAAAGGAAAGACCAGTCCTGTAAAAGAAGAGGCACTATACATTACTTTCTGAAAAATTAGTCTGAATAGGAACCTAAAAACAAATTAAAGTGTAGTATACATTTTGCTGTCTCCTAATTTCTAGATATATTTTAATGCAATATGAAAAAAATATAACAATAAAATACACCAAAAAAAAAAGACAAACACAGATAAAAATAAACACTTTTTGACAATGTTATGCCCTTGAAAACATTTAAATTCAACCCAAACCTCCATAGACCACCATAATGTTACATTTTCCGTTATAACCCAATGCATACGGCCTATAGGGGAAATTTTGCCCAAAAATGGATGGATATATTCTCAATTTTTACTTGAGTCACTTTAAAATATTAGCTGAATTATTAGGTGAACTATCTTACAAGGCTCCTGAATGTTTCTTATGCTGTATATCTTGTTTTCTCCAGTCTAGTGTTTATTCAATTGAAAAGTGTACATCATTTTTAAAAATGGTCTATCCGTCTCTACAAGATCCATATTCTGTGGCTATCACATCCTATGCTCTGGCCTTAGCTGGAGAACTTCAGGGCATCGACAAACTGATAACTACATCCACAGGTATGTGCTACTGTTAATCCACAAGTGAATCGTTCTTCTGAAACATGAAGTTCTAATATTCTGAATCATGAGCAGTATTGCAATATTTATGGTAAAGCAGGCCATTGGCTTTATAGGATGATGGGATATGCAGGCATAATAAGAATTCCTAAATATATCTTTATGCTTAGTTTTAGGTATAAACATGAACACAAAGGGCTCCAGAGCATGCAAGTTCCCCCATAAGTTTGGAATCTTATGGGGGACCTAACACTTTTTTTCCTTTTTTTTTTTTTTTTTACACTGGGGGTTACCCCCTAACATTCCTACTAGACCTAAAGGTCCTGGTATCAATTGGGTAGAGGGACCCAACACTTTTTTTTTTTAAGTTTATGTTTAACAATAAAAGTTCATTCAGGAAAAAAATGTGGATGCATCCAAAATTTTCGTTATCGGAAATTTATTCGGATTCATTATTTCTGCCATTCGGAAATGGCAGGGAGGAGGGAGGCACCTCTAATGCCAGCTTATCCTGGGAGAAATAAATTGTAGCCCCTCCAATCTATTTCTCTGTTTAGATGTTTCTGTCTTTATTTCCTATTTGATATGTTGGCCAATAGTGCCTGCAGAGATTGTACATCGATGGAGAGAATCACAGCTTTCATCAACTCTCAGAAATCAACTAAATGGCTACAGAAATTGCAATAGAAACCCTAAAGAGGTTCTAACCCTTCCCTTATCTGATACTGTTTATTAACTAGGATTGGGTAACGCCACCGCCGTAGACCTTAATGGTAGGGAGCCAGCCGCATCTCGAGTCCGCCGCTGCGTTCCACGGTGGAACGCACGCTTGTCACTTCCGGGTTCGAAGGCCGGGTGTGTTCCACCTTGGAACGCGGAAGTGCGCCGATCCATTCGGCGGCTCCTCCCCAAACAGTTGCAGCCCTACATAAGCGCCCAGACGAGACAGCATGGCGTTCCACTATTGAGCCAGAACGCCTGCTGTCTCCTGGGACCCTTCAATGCCTCCAGCTTACTCCTGCCTTCTACTTCTTCCGGAACCGGACACCAAAAGGACCCACAGCTCTCCACCTCCAATCAACCCTCAAAACCGCAAGTATTTGGTGCACTTGCACAACGTTCAGTAGAGACTGTATAGGATACCAACTAATGCAATTAGGCTTGTTACTTGATTGGAACCTGGATCACTGCTATACTATTGTGTGCCTCTCCCACCTGCTACCCAGTATAACCCTATTACATAGGTGCTCAGGGGTAGGGCTTATGAAGCAATAACCCCACTCTAAAACCGCATATTTAGTTTAAAATAAGGCTGTGATGCAAGAACCCCTAACTCTCTGTTAATTAGAGAGTGAAACCAGGGTTTCACTGACTGAGAAGCCTCCGCAGTTGCGATCCACACCCCTCCATCCTCAACAGGCGTGACAGATTGTGGAAGTGGGGAAAAAAGCGTATTAGTTCCACAGTGCTTCAGGAAGGTTGAATGACACCAGCTTACACCTCTGATTAATTTAGATACATATAACAAGGTTATTTTATGAGTTTCCATGAAAGCCTAACATGAGGGAGGGCTAGCAATGCTTGGCCTTAGATTGCTACCCATGACCCCGGGCATCGAAGAAACCCTTGCTTTGCCTAGGATTTCTGCCCATGACCCTGTGGACTTAATCCTTGCTTTGCCTAAGATTACCATCTGTGACCCCATGGACTTGATCCTTGCTTGGCCTGAGGTTGCTGCCTGTGACCCTGTGGATTTAACCGTTGCTTTGTCTAAGACTGCTATAACAATTTTGCACCAGCTATTGTTTTTTTTTTTTTCCTTTTATGACTGATTGCAGGTAACTATTGGAATGACCCCAGCTCCCGCTTTATATCAATTGAGGCTACATCCTATGCTCTCCTCACACTAATACACATGAAGCATTTGAATTTCATTGATCGCATTGTTCAGTGGCTTACAGAGCAAAATTTTTATGGAGACACCACTGGACAAACCCAAGTGAGTGTATTTCCATTTGTCTCTCTTGGACCATAATAACAAAGAAAGGGAGGAGATGAACAGAACATGTGGGAATACAGAGTGTGGATTAACATGTTATGGGAGCTAGTCGCCTTTCTAAAAGTAGCAGCAGTGTGCCAGGGATGAGTACTAATGTTTCTGGTTTCTGCAAGTCTGTTCCAGTTGTAAGCATATATTTGTGCTTTGTTCTCATAGCTGCATCAATGACTTCAATGGCAGCTGCCACCAAGGAATAATTTCCATACAGCACAACAATCCGTTCAGTATTAGAAAGCATGTGTACAAAAACAAAAATACTATTGGATAAAATTGGAATGAATGTAAGGGCCATAAAATAAATGTGCTGTGTAGCTCTCTAAAGACTTATGTACTTTGCAGGAGCTCTCACCTTGGACTGATTATATATAGACCTGTGGTTCTCAACTGGTGGGTCGCGAGCCAAAAGTGAGTCACAACCCCATGTTCAGTGGGTTAGCGCATGCCTTCCACTGCGCTACGTCGGAGGTTCCTCAGCCTCCCCCTAGTGCAGCACTGTCAGTTCATTGTCAAGGCTTGGGGTATGGCTGCAAGGAAGCTCCATCCATAAATACATTGCTTACAGCTCCTTTGTGTGTTGCGTGTCCCTGTAGGTGCCTGGGCTGGAGTGACGTGACATTCTGGCTCCCAGCACATGCACATATGGATGGAGCTCTGTCACAGCACAGCAGCCTACACTGGACCTCAGGCTGGGGATGCACTCCAGCTTTTGTAAGGTAGGGAGCGGGAAGTGGATTTGGGGTTTCATTCATTTGAATGGCACCCCAAATTCATCTCGCGCCCAGAGTTTGATCATCCACACTGGAACAAGTGGTACCGCAATGCAGTGCTTTCCAGTGTGGTGCAGCTTGGGTCGCGACTTAATGACTAAGGTCAAATGCGGGTCCTGTTGTTACACAGGTTAAAAAACACTGAAAAGACCATAGCAAATCCTCAAAGTCTTTAAACTCCCTCTAACCGGTGGCTTCTGCTGGTCATTATAGCTTACATATTATAAGTTATAATCCCAAAAATACTATGTAAACATGCCCATAGACATAGAAGAGTGGTCCACTATGATTGCCCAAGCATCAGCATTTATGTAACTGAAAACAGGAGAGGGACTAGGAGAGTGGGGTGGAGAGGCACAGAAAAAAAGGGTGGTGGGGAGTGGGAATGATTTCCAATGGGCATTCAATTTCATTGTGCTCATCCATATGTTATCTTCCTGTCCACCTAAGGGGCCATCACGTGATCTGGCCAAAAATGTCTGGCTTGAATTATTCCATGAGCTTAATTAAGAAAACATCCTCCCACTCCTGATTCCATACATAAAATAAGAGCCTATACACCCATATATATTGACATAACAGTTTTTTTCAATATTCTAGGCTACTGTAATGATGTTCCAAGCCATTGCTCAGTATTACCGAGTTGTACCAACTACCCAAGATGTAGACAGGGATATCTTACTGCAGTTTCCTATGTGGGATAATGAAAGGTTCCGCATAGTGGCCAATACAATCTCGACATACAGTCGACAGGTGAGATTACTCATTGGAAAAATACGCTATATTGCCAAACGTTTGTGAAAACCTCGCCATATTATGGAGTTTATTTGTTTCCAGTAAAGTATACTGTCAGGATTTATTTGCATGATACATGATAATTATGTCACTTAGAAACAAGCTCAGAGAGTCTTTGTGTGTTTGTGTCTACCTATATGTAAAAGATAAGCACACAGTATATAAAAAGGAGTAAAAGAGACAGTAGATGGAATGTATAGGATTTTTATATGTTTTCTTATACTACTACTTATACTCAGTACTAAAATGAAAAATAAATAAACTAAAGGTGTGTATTTATTCTTAAGTATATTGTCAAGTAAATAAGAAATATCAAATGCTAAAATGTTATACTTACTACTTGCAGACAACTGGTAGATACTTCCAAGCAGACCATCAGTTATGTAAAGCTGTAAGCTGACATCCAGGCACAAAACTCCAGCAAGTTTCCACTGGCTGGAGTCTTACAGTTGTCTAGTGTTGGTAACACAGC